AAGACTAAAATGCTTATATCTCTCGATCCACTGGGCCGATTTTAACGTTTTAACCGCCATTCTGATCGCAAGACACTTCTCTACAACTTTACTTAGGTATCGAAAAGAGGTTTACTTAGTAAGGAAAAACCTTTTTTTGGGAAACTTCAGATTCCAAAGACAATAATAAATTTCCCCACTTTTTACTATATGTTTTCACTGGTTCACTGGCAGATCACGAATTAATTAATTAATTAAAATTAAAAATAAATTAATAAAAAGTAATAGAAATAAATTAAAGAGAGCTCGAGGCTCGAGTAATATGTATATATAAAAAAAAAATAGAAATAAAAATAATTAAATAAGTAATAAAAAATTAAATAGAAATAAATAAATTATTAATTTAAAAAAAAAAAATAATAAATGTCAAATTTCAAAATTTATTATAATTCACAAACCGTGAGACTCACGGTTTCTTATAGTTAAATAATAAAATTAACCAATTACTCATTTTAAATGTATTGCTTAATAAATCTATCTAAAAAGTTATAAAGAGTTATTTATATAACTTTCAAGTTCTAATTAAACTTTAAACTTGAAAATTATATAAATTGACTTTATTATAACAATAATTATAATAAAGTTAAATCATTAATAAGCTATCTAACATATTTAACAATATAGAACAAAGTTAAATTGTTATAATAACTGTCATCTAACATGTAAGTATAATAATGTAATTTGACAATTTTTTTATCATGCAAAGTTAAATCATTAATATGCTATCTAACATATTTAACAATATAAAACAAAGTTAAATTGTTACGATAACTGTTATCTAACATGTAAGTATAATGACATAATTTGACAATTTTTTTATTATGTTCAAAGGCTGTGCTTTTATATAATAATTTATGTATATACATATTTATTAACTTAAATATAAATAATACTTTTTATAGTAAAAGATCATCAATCAAATGATTGGATAACATATTTTATGGTTTAAAGTATTTTTTTGAGAATATGATATTTTATTAACAAGCTTTAGAAGAAACTTTCATTCACAGTGCAAAAGAATCAAAAGAATCCCAAAAAATTTACGAACCGAAAAACTTAGAAGAAAAAAATGCTTACCTGTTTATTAGACCATACTGAATTATACTGTTATACCATAGAATAAGGTAACCAAAAGCAATTTTGTTTAAAATTATCTGAGTATGTTAGATTTAAATAAACTTTCATTATTACTAACTACTGTATATACCTATTTGAATAGAAATAAGTTTATAGTAAAAAGAGAAATTATATTTAATTTAAACATGAAATTTTCTAAACTAGTCTAGAGACTGGACTCATCAACTCGAAACTCGAATCATGACTCAAGTTACTTGATAATTAAATAATTTTCAATAAATTTCGTGACTCAAATGACTCAAGTCCAGTTATTAATTAAAAATATTAATACTCGAGTAATTTGAGTCATGAATTGAATTTCGAGTTGACGAGTCCAGTCTCTAAACTACTCTAATATTTTATCACACTAATTTAAGAATACTACACAAAAGGATGACCCAATACGTATAATACTGGTAGCCACTACTTACAATATTTCTTAAAAACAATACTACCCATAATTAAAGCTTGGGTGTTACTTATTATTACTATAGTCTATTTCTTGAATACCAGGTACTGTAAGTAGCAATTAACGGTATGTATCTTGAAATACAATATATTTCAACTCTTAAACCCTGGAAAAATAATAAATTAAGACGTTAAAAAAGAAATACAATACAAAAAGACCGTTAAACTTTTGTAATTCATTCCAAACTTTAGCGCAAATAAAGATTCAAACCTTAATACGTGGAGCCTATAAATACAAAGTATGAAAAGACTAGAGACTGGACTCGAGTCAACTCGGCTTAAAAAACATGGTCTTAACTCGAATTAACTTGAGTCAAGACTATGTTTTTTATGCTACAAGTTAACTCGAGTCCAGTTTCTAAAAAAGACACATAGCAATAGAAATGTATAAATGCATAGCAATATGAAACGTTTACCAAGTAATGGAGTTATTATAAAAAAAGGTCTTGTTAATAAAAGCATAGAAATTCAACCAACCAAGAAGTATAAAGAGAGCCTTATATTTTTTAGATCTCATTCACATTGCCAGAAAAAATTGATTACAATTGATTTTTTACTGATTATGAAAAACTTCTAACAAAAAAGTATGACTATGAACCAATTAAAATCCATAGATCATTCTAGAATCGATCTAGAATGTAATCTGTTACACAAAATCCGATTTACCAAATACAGAAAAATTCCTGACTGAAATACGATTCAATAGTTTCTTAAATTCTAATTCCACATTTGGCTCTAAACTCTTATCTTCTAATGATTTTTTCACATACATTCAGCTAATTTTAAATCCTATTGTAGACCTGTGGCCTAGTATGTGTAGAGAGTGTATATAATTAAGAGAAAAACTAGTAACAGATAAGCAGATTAAATATTTGAATAACCCAGTTTGATTAATATAGATCCCAGTTGGCACCCACATAATTAAACCTCTATCGTAGAAGATCTTACATATGATAATTTGTAGGTATAGCTGTTTTCATAATTATGAGATATCTGGCAAAAAATTGACTGACTGAATATTTGCCGATTTGATAAGTTTTGAATCACCAGCGATTATTACCAAAATCATAAACTTATCGAATTAGCAAATATTCGGTCGGTCAATTTTTTGCCAGATGTTCCAGAATTATAAAAACAGCTATAAGTTATTTTACCTAAGATTTAAAAAAGCTGATGTGGTGTTCTTGCAAACTGATCTGCCAATGCTTTTCACCATTTGATCAAAGTTAGCGATGCGGTAAATAACACTTCTCCCAAGTTAATTCCATTTTTTGTATAAAATATTATCTTATTTTTGAAATTTAGATGATATCCAATTATATTACTAAGAGTATATCCAGGAAGATTTGAAAAATCATATAGCCCACAACTTCTTGAATAAAATAAATATCCGTCGGCACCATGGTAACCATGCCCCATGATTCATTTTTCTGTTCTAAAACATATGATATAGACATTAATTTATAATAATAAAAATATAAAATAAAAATTTACTATTACTAGACATGAGCATATTATTTATATCATATGAATCGTCAAGTTTTTTATCGCTTTGTTTTGTACAATATATGATTCCAATCATTCTTTTAAAAAAATAGAAATAAAAGATTATAAAAAGTTACTAGAACAAAGGGTGATGTTTATGGTCGTATGAGAAGCTCCCTTTATAGTTTCTCTACTTTAACATTATTAATTGGATAAAGAATTTCAATATCACTTCTAAAGGAAGATTTTCACATGACAAGATAAAGAATTCTGATAAACACTGCTTCTTAAAAATTCAGATAGTCTAGATAATGATTCTGGAGAACCATAAAGGAACGAAGGTTTGAGTAGACTAAGTAATTCAGGTTGAAAAACACCAGAATAAGATCTTTCTTTATATATTGATATTGAACATTTACAGTCCGATAAGCCTCTGCTTTCTTAGTTAATGTAGTTGTTTATGATTATTAAGTATGGTCTTGTTTTTTTGTAGCTATTAGTTTCGTTAGCTATATTAGGACTCGTACTTTCTACTTCAGGAACATAGTTGTTTGAAGGTTTAGCATGATTTTCTGTTGTATCTTTGGATATATCTATGTTCTAAGAAGTTTTCTTTTTGACAATATTCATACCTACACCTTGGAGAGAATAGGTCATTTGCTCGAACATTTATTGCTTTATAATCATCAGGATCTTTAATGAAGAGATTGTTAATAAATTAAATAGCAATAATATTTTTTTAAATGCTGATAATTATAGCAATACAAATATGTTTCTGCAAGATTTCTCAGGTTAATATTACCTGTATAAATTACTTTAAGTCCACTTG